GGGTGAGGGAGTGAGGGAAATTGAAATAATTTGTTCGAATTTGGGTTTGATTTGCATCTCTCTTATTGCCCGTGATTTGGAACATTTCTTCATGTGTCTGTTTGCCATTCAAATATCTTCCTCTGTGAAAATTCTTTCCATATCTTTTGCCCATTTCATAATTGGGTATTGGGTATTGGTCTTTTTCTTGTGGAAGCCCAGGAGTATTATGTAAACTTTGGTTATAAGACTCTTGTCTGAGATGGAATTAGCAAATATTTGTTCCCAGTCTGTAGGTTTTCTTTTCACGCTGTTGAAAAAGTTTTTGATGTGCACAGAGATTTAATCCTTAGAAGGTCCCACACATGGTTTTTATCCTCTTTAGATTTTACATTTATGGTTATTGGCAGATTCTTTATATCTTGGACTAGTGCTTCTAATTTTGATCCCAGTTTGTCTCTTATGAATGTCATGGTTTTGGGCTTTACTCTCAGGTCTCTGATCCAACTTGAGTTGATTTTTGTGTATGGGATGAGATATGGATCCTGTTTCAAACTTCTACAGCTGCCGATTATATAATAGTGTACACAGAAAACCTCAAAGACTCAACAAAAACTGTTAGCTACTAGGCAAATTTAGTAGAGGGGCAGGATATAAGATCAATATAAAAAAATCAATAGGATTCCCCTATAAAACTCAAGAGAAGGAAATCAAGAAAGTAATACCATTTACAATTGCCAACCACAAATTAAGATATTTGATAGTGAACCTAACTAGAGATACAAAAGACCTATACAAAGAAAACTACAGAGCATTTCTGAAAGACACAATAAAAGACCCAAATAAATGGAAATATGTGCCCTGTTCATGGATAAGAAGACTCAATATTGTGGAAATTACAATCCTACCAAAAGCAATCTACATGTTCAATACAATCCCAATCCAGATACTAAATTCGTTTTTCAAGGACATTGAAAGGGAAATTATAAAATTTATTTTAAGAGAAAAAGGACCCTGAATAAGCAAAACACTTCTGAGAAACAAACATGAGGTTGGAGGCATAGCACTCCCTGACCTCAAAACCTACTACAAAACAGTGGTAACCAAAACATCATCGTACTGGTACAATGACAGGCACATAGACCAAAAGAACAGAATTGAGAACCCAGAAACCGACCCAGCTATCTATGGAACTGATAACTGATAAAGAAATCAAAGCTATCAAATGAGGAAATAATAATGTCTTCAAGAGTAATTTTTTAAGGACTTAGTTCATAAGGAAAAAGCAAAGAACCATAAAAAAGATGTTATGAATTATCACTTTGGGAGAAGATGTTAACATATGTGATCCATTCTAAAGAACTTTATGCATATTTGCTATCTGGCAAATGAAAAAAACTATTAATGTATTATTATAAAAATTGCTTCAGAAAATTTATTACTGAGTTACTAGAACTATAGAGATAGATGAGAGGAAGAAGGGGAAATATTTATAGCATTGAAAAATTTCATTTTATATGGGAAAACTGAAGTGAAGAGAGGTGTCAAATTAATTCTCTTTTTCCGGGGAAAGAGGAGAGGGCATGGTTTCTAAATATAAAGGAACAAACGGGAATATCTTTTTATATTTATTCATGTAAGAAAAAGCCTAAAGACAAAAGCTAGGGAAGACACTGGCTATATTAGGATGCTAAGATTTTTCTTCTACTAGGCTTCTTAAAGTGTTATATTCCCATTTCTTTCACCCCCTCCAACAAGCAGCCATCCAAAAAGATTGGGTAATGATGGGGAAAGCCCAGTGGTGATTGATTTTATAAAACATAATGCACAAAAATGATTGTATGAAACACACTATGAATGAAGAGTTGTGTGAAACACAATGTATATAAACTTTGTGCACAAGTGAATATAAAAACAAACAAGCAAACTGGAGGTGCAGACTGGGGTAGGGAGAAAAGTGTGCAATAATGAATGAATGAAAAATCCAACTTTCCTGTAAACTTTCATTACAATGATAATAATTTTTTTAAAGTGTTATATTTCCTGGCTGAAGCAAATGGTCAGTTAATTTGGCTGCCAAATGAAAAGCTGGAAGTTCAAATTCACACAGAGGCATGACAAGGAAAGTCCTGGTGATGTACTACTGAAATACCAGCCACTGAAAGCCCTGTGGGGCACAGGTCTACTCTACGACAAATGGAGTCACTGGGAATTAATCATCTTGACAGTAATTATTTGTATGATTCCTTACAAATAAAGTTTTACCTGAGATGGGTGGCAAAGATAATATTTTATATTTACCCCTCCTCCCCACTGAAGGGATAAATAGTTGTTTTAATATTACTTCTTGAAAAGATTTCATTATCCCTATTGAGTTAGTTTGATACATCTGTCAATAAGACTGAAGATTCACTAAATCTATATAACCTTAACTAATCCAATGGGTGACTGGAATGCAAAAGTTGAGAATAGAGAAAAATCAGCAGTTGGAAAACATGGACTTGGTGACAGAAAGGAAGCGGGAGATAGGATGATAGAATTTTTCACAATCAACAACTTATTTTTTGCAAATACATTTCATAAGAAACACAAACACAGGCTATACACATGGATTTCACCGGATCGTATGCATACGAATCAGATCAATTATATCTGTAGAAAGAAATCCTGGAGAAGCTCAAGATCAACTGTGAAAACTAGGCCATCACCAACTACTCATATACTAGTTCAAGCTAAAGCTGAAGCTAAGGAAAATGAAATCAAGTCCACAGGAACCAAAATTTGACCTTGAGTCTATCCTATCTGAATTTCAGAACCATCTCAGGAACAGGTTTGAGGCCTTGATTAATGAGTGAAGACCAGATGAGCTGTGGAAGGATATCAAGAATATCATTCATGAAGAATGCAAAAGGTCACGCAACCACTGTGGAAGGCGGTATGGTGATTTCTCAAAAAGTTGTAAATAGAGATACCACCCGACTTAGCAATTTCACTACTGGGAATATATCCCAAAGGGATCACAACCGACACCCAAGCAAATATATGCACAGCCAAGTTTATCGCAGTGTTGTTCACAATAGCAAGGAGCTGGAAACAACCTAAGTGCCCATCAACAAACGAATGGATAGAGAAGCTGTGGTATATTCACACAATGGAATACTATGCTGCATTGAAAAACAAGGAACTCATGCAATATTATTCAAAATGGGTGACCCTGGAGGACATTATGCTGAGTGAAGTATCTCAGTCACAAAAGGACAAATACTGCATGGTGCCACTGTTGTAAAACAGGACTGACCTCGGGGCTGGGGGAGACTGAGAAAGATGGGTTCAATAATGTATACTGCATTGAAACAGATGAGGGAGAAAACTGTTTAAAAGGGATATGTGTGTGATTAGGTATTTTTGATGTGTGTGATTAGGTATTTTTGTCATGACAGGAGTCCAGAATGAAGGCTGCATAGTGGAGTGGACCTGGGGGGAGGGATTGTAAAAGTAATGAAAGAATTTTTTTTTTTACTTTTCCAAGAGGGGAGTGTACTGGGGTGGAGGGTTAGGAGGGCAGAAAAGTGCAATAATGAATGAATGGAAATCCAAAGTCTCTGTAAATGGAAATTAATAATAAAAAAAATTTAAAAAAAAAGAATGCAAAAGGCCATTACAAAGACAGAAGAGCAAGATGGAGGTCAGAAGAAACTCTGAATATTGCATTGGAGCACTGAGAAGCCAAAGCATCGGGATAAAATCAAGCTATTAAGGAGTTGAATAGAAGATTCTATTGGCAAAGTCTGCTGATAGAAACCTCTCCAAGGTACTGAGGAGCAACGATGTCACTCTGGAGACTAAGGTGTGCCTGATACAGGCC